TTTTTAAAAATATTTACTATTTTTGAGAGAGAAGAGAGTGCACACGAGTTGAGGAGGGCCGGGGGGGTGGACAGAGGATCCAAAGCGGGCTCTCTGCTGACAGCAGTGAACCCGATGCAGGGCTCGAACTCACGAACTGTGAGATCACCACCTGAGCCGAAGTTGGATGTGCAACGGATGGAGCCCCCCAGGCACCCCTGATATCACTCTTTTTAATGTCTGCACAGTGTTGTATTGTGACAGATGAACCATAATTCATTGAGCTATCAGTATATGGTGTAGGTGCTAACTTTTTTATCCCTCCAGATACCACAGTAAACAGCCTTATATTTTCACGCTGAATACTGTATGATTACAGATATCAGATATAATTCAGAGTATATCCCTAAAACTGGAACCACTAGACCCGAGGAAAAGCACATTAAATGCATTTGTGGACAGTGCTATCTATATTAGCATCTGGGAATGAGGGTAGCTATTTCCCCCCGTTATCAAACTTTTAAACCTTTGCGCATGATCTCCCTGGGTGTATATCATAAAAAGTGAGATTTCCTGTATTTATAAGTTGTTTTCTGTCCACTGTGATCATATTGCATCCATTCTTTGCCTGTTTTCCTAACAGCTTGTTGGTCATTTTCTTTCTCATTTGTAGGAACTCTTTATGTATTAAGGAAATCAGTCCTTTGCCTTCACAGATGTTACAAAAAACGTTTGAACTAGTAATTCATTGTCTTTCAAGTTGATTAATGTTTTTTCTATAGAAATTAATTGTTTCAAATTCAGCGCTCCTTTTGTACGATTTCTGAATTCAAGGTCTACAGAGAGTTTCACATACAAAAGTACTCCCCTCCCCATTTTCTCTTTTCTTTTCTTTTTCTAAAAAATTTTTTTAATGTTTATTGTTGAGAGACAGAGTATGAGCAGGGGAGGATCAGAGAGAGAGGGAGACACAGAATCCGAAACAGGCTCCAGGCTCTGAGCTGTCAGCACAGAGCCCGACGCAGGGCTCGAACTCACAGACCGCAAGATCATGACCTGAGCTGAAGTCAGACACTTAACCGACTGAGCCACCCAGGTGCCGCCACCCGCCCCCCTCATTTTCTCTTAATGCTTTGAATTTGGTTTTTTACGTTTAAATCGTCAGGCTATCCGTAATTAACTTGAGTATACAGAGTGAGAGCAAAATACTGCATAATCTTTTTCTAAATAGTGTATCTTCCTGTGAACAAAAGTACCTCATATTTGGGTGCAGATCACTAACGTGACGTTCATACTTGGTGCTTGCAAAGAACCAAGGAGAAGCAGTGCCGTGCGGACAGCAGGCAAGGGCCCACCGTGTCTGCAGGGCTTTGAAAGTCAGGGCTGTGAATTTGTGAATATCATTCAAAGAGTATTTACTTCACATGTTACTCTGTACATAGCACATATTTTTACTTTTCTTATCCACCAAACACTAAAAAATTTTTTTGTATTATCAATACAACAGACACAGTATTACTTCCATCATTGCATTTTCATCGTGTTTGTGACTCTTAATGTTTCCTTGGTTTGTGTCTGGCTGAAATTCTTGTCATGCTTTATTTCCCTAACATGTTAGCATTCCCACTGGCCTCTGGTCCTGTCTACTGCTGGAGAGAAATGTGAGGCCAAATGATCCTTCCCCTTGTGGCTGCTTTTTCTGCCAAAATATATTAAAGAATCGATCTTATAAAACGTTAACCCGTTAATTGACATCTCAGAATATGGATAGCTGTTGGTCTTTCTCTGTGGTTCTGCTCCCTGGAGATAAATGGTGCTCTCCCTATTGGCTGAGCAAGGTATTAGACTATTTCAGAATTTTTCTTTGATCATATCTTTGAACATTTTTTTCCCCTATCCTACTTGTTACTTTATGTTTTTATAAGGTAAACCCTTTTGGAATGTCCGGTTATCTTTGAGAGACGGTCAGCTCTTAAAACGAATGTTAAACTTTTGTGCTTTGTTTGACATTCGTTTTCCCAAGCCCCCCCACCCCACCCCCCGCCCCATCCCTAAGTGTGCCATCAGCACTGTCAGTTCTGGGTGTCACCCCTTTTATAAAGTGTCTTTATCTGCAACATTGACTTTTTCTCACTTGTTTCCTCCTTTGATATCTTACACATCTTATTTTGGCTCTTGTTTCAATGAAAGGCCACATTGTCTTTAGCTCTTTTATGCCTGCCAAGAGCATCCAAGATGTTCTTCTGCCCTGCGACCTGGTTCTTTCAGTAGAGATTATTTCATATCAATGTCATATATAACATATGGCATCATATACTTTATATGTATATAATATACATAATTACATATGATGTCATATAATACACACATATTCTTTCATAAATGTATGTTTTCCTTATTATTTTTTGATGGTATCTAGGGGAGAGGGGCTGCAGAATTATCTCCGAGCACTTGGTCATCAAAGGTTCCACCTCATCTACACTGGTCAGCTGTCATTTTGCATCAGTAAGCACCTCCCTCACCACCATTTCTTCTTCTCAGGCGAGTCGGAGGGTGATGTGTCCAAGAAGGAATGTCTGCATGTTATGGGTTTTCTGTTGGATGCATTTGCATTTATTTCCTCACGGGTTCCCTCAGTCAGCGTCTGCCCAGTTGATAGCCATTTATGCCCCCAACTTCACCCTGCCACCCTCCTCACTTCTTGGGGGGAAACGGCATATGTGTGTATGTTGTCCTTCAGCCTCAATTTGCTTGCTGCGGTGAATGGGACAAGGAACCTCAGCCGTGACTTGTCCCTGCCTCTAGATTTCTCCCTTCACGTAAGAGTTGGTCAGCTGTTTCTTGGGTTGTTGCACACGTTTTCCTGGAAATTTTTTTGCTCTGTAGGTCTTTTTATCTGCTCATGGCAGTCGCCCTTGTTTGAGCCTGTATTTGTATTTGTTATTTCTGTTCTGTGTCGTCTGTGGTTTTTGATAGAGGCTCTCCTATGGTTTCACTGAAAATAGCTGATTCTGGGGCGCCTGAGTGGCTCAGCAAGTTAAACATCTGACTCGATTTGAGCTCAGGTCATGATCTCCCAGTTCATAAGATCAAGGCCCACCTTGGGCTCTGTGCTGACAGCATGGAGCCTGCTTGGGATTCTCTCTCTCCCTGTCTGCCCCTCCCCCACCAAAATAAATAAATAAACATTAAACAAAGAAAATAGGTATTTTCTATTTTCAATTATTTTTGCTGTTTTCAGTGGATATTAGGGAGAGGGGAGAGCAGTAGAAATATCACTGCCTTCAACAAAAGAATATAAATTAACAGAATTAAGCAATACAACAGTTAAGATATTTATCCGGGTCTCCTCACTTGTTTGAATAGGAGAATAGAGACGTGTAACACAGTCTTGGGAAAGTAAAGTTAAAACTCTCAAAACAGTTTACAAATGTGGATCCAGGCTCTCGTTGCACTGAAAGCTTGGTGGAACGATCGATTGCCAAGGCCTTGAGTGGTTGGAAAGCAGTGTGATTGGACTTGTTGTTTTAGGGACAGCTAATATTTGAACAGGTGTTGTAAAAATATTCCGAGTGTAGAACACAGCACAAACTTCTGATTCTTAGTTCCCTGTCGGTATTTCTTGACAGAGAACAGCCAGGCCTCACGGGGACCTCTTGGGAGATAGTTGGATTTAAGAGTGAATAAGCGTGTGGAAGGACCTTTGAAGGCCCTCAAGGTCGGCAAGCTTATCTTAGATATAGGAGGGATCCCTAGTAGTTTTTTGAACTAGGCGATGAGATAATCAAAGCTATGCTTAAGAACCCGTCATCTGGCAGTTGAATTGAAGTGTATTTCATTTGCCCTCACTGGGACTTAGGGTAAATCCTTTGTACTCGCTATTGCTCTCCGTACGGTTGTACAACCTAGGGAACTATTCCTTTCTCAAGAAGCTTACTCTAGTGGATTCAAGAAACTGATTTTGAAAAATCAGATTCAGTAAAACGTTCATAGCAGAGTTGATCTCAACTCTTACCATCATGGGGTAGCTGTCCTGTGTTGCCAGCCTAGTTCCACCATAGTAATGGATCTGGTCTGTTATTTCATACCACTAAGGTGAATTCTATCATTTCCATGGAACGCTTTAAAGTCTACCCCCATGTCCCTGGAATCCTGTTGTGTCCCATAAATTTTGATGGCTTCTTCAACGGCAGCATGTTATATCTCGTTTTTCCACATTCGCTCGCTTCTAAGTCAGGTTTCATCCGTCCTCATGATGGCTCTCCCCTCTTCTGTTGCACTCTTGCTGCTCCACATCTTCTCCTAATTATGCCCGTCTGATGGCTCCCTCTCTAACATATTTTTATTCCCTGGTATTTTGCTCTGCTGTTGTTTTTATGTCAGTCTTGCCTAATCAATTAGAATTATAGTCTACTTGAAGATATAAATAATCGTCTACATTTTATTTATTTATACATCCCATGTTCCTCCAGAAGATGATTTGAGCATGTTCCTTCCGTATTACTATGTTTTGACCTTTGCTCAGGTGGTGGACATTCGATTGAGGAGGGTCGATATTTTATGAGCTAAGAACATAAATGACCAACAGAGGAGTTTTTGTTGTTTTTTATTTATGGTTTTTATCTGTTTGAAAGTCCTACAGAGATAAATCACCTTTATCAAATCAACTCTATGGGGGAAAAGAGCATGAATTTTGAGACTCTTCCAGTCAGTGAGCAAGCATTACCAGGAAACATACTCAATATAAATTAAATATAAGTTGCTTTTCTGTAAATACGTACCTATTACCTTTTAAAATTGATGTATACCTTAAATATAAGTTCTCAAAATATCAGGGCCCACGATATTGGGAACTTGGTTTTTACGAAAGAACGACGGTCACGTCCTGTGGCTCTTTATCCCTCAGCAGCTGTGTCCAGCTGGTGGTCTGCATTCCCACCCCCCACCCCCCACTTCTTCAGTGAATGGAAACATTTAGGTCAATATTGATATAAAACTTCTTGATCTTTCTTCTCTTTCAGCTTTGGTTCGCCTTTGTTAATGGATTTTCTGGGCAGATTTTATTTGAACGTTGGTGTATCGGCTTGTACAACGTGGTAAGCATTCTCCATCTCTCTCTGATAGCAGGCAGAACTTTGGTGACATTCCTTTACTGTTTATGTCTGGGAAGTGTATCTAAGTCAATCATCTGTATACATAGCAGGCAGCACAAATACATCTTTAGGCCCTTTGTTGCTGCGACACATCCTGCAGAAGCCCAGGCTCTCCACACATGGTTTCAATCATAGCAGATCATTCTTGAATAACCCCATGAAATTATTAACCCATATATCTTGATAATAGACCCTTGTTACCTCCTGACTAAATGCCTGCACAACATTTCCATGTTTTTAGCTCAAGTAAGAATTTCTGAACTACATCTAAACCTATTCCACTTCGTAATTTTATTTCTGAATTCTTAAACGTAGATATGCATATATAGTACATAAGCGCGTGTCCACTTTGTCCTTCTTGAAAGAGTGTCCGTCCTTGCAGAAGAACATTTTCTTCCACAGCTAGTGCTACAATAATGAATGCCGACTTCCAGCTCCCATGGTGAATGGTAATCAGCCTGTTTGGTATTTTTCATGATTTCAGAGTTCTTTTTTCATTACTTCACTATAGTGGATTCAAAAGCTAGAAATAAATAGAAACCATAAGCTAAAATGATGAACTGTAGCGACTTAGCTCTTTGTTTTTCTGGTGCGGGGAACTAAGGGGCTCGTAGGCGGGTGCTTTAGACGCCCCGGAAGGCAGCGTCTCGAGTCGCGCTGTCCCATTGCTTTTGGACGCTGACTCTGGCATCGCCTGCCCTGAGGGAGTTTACAGTCAGAAGTCGCCATCCCAGGAAGCTGTTGATGGAAGTTACCAGACAGACGATACGGTGTACACCGTGGGGCGGTAAGTATCCATAGCTTGGGTATACATTTGTGGCTGGACGTTTAAGTCATCTGCCTGCTCAATCTTTTTTTTGGTTTCTCAGTAGCTACCACGCTAGGTGCTAGGTCTGCGGCAGGCTGCCCCAGCCCTGTGTAGCTTGACGGGTTAAGAGGGTCAGATGGATAGACTGAGCTGCCACTGAGCCTGAGCTCCCATCTCATCTTGGGTTTAAACAGCGTGGGTGAGCCAGTCAGCGTGCTACTACCGGCTACGCTGGCGCATTTATTGCTCATCCGTGGGCTCGAAAGGCAGAGGTGACAGGTGGCGAGAGCAAGGCTGGGCCGATGCCCCTTTCTCCCCTGTGCGAGAACAGCTTCCCTAAGCCGCCTGCCACGCAGACAGCGGCTCACGGACCTCCCCTCGGACAGGCTGTTAACCCTGCAGGCCCTAAAACTCTTTTGAGTAGATGAGAATTAGTCTCTGCACCATAACGATTTAGTGCTGGAAAGGGCCAGGTCCACGCCCACGTACGGATGTATAAATAGGAAGCTGAGACCTGTGAGACTGTGTCCCCTGGCCAGACAATGCCTGGAGGTGAGCCCTACCTTTATGCTCAGGCATGAGAGCCAGATTCTTTTCTTAGCCGTGTGCTGCCTTGGACAATTCAGATTAATCCAACAAACTTGGATTGAGGGCCTGCTAGGCTTGGATGGTGTTGGTCAAAATAGGGTCCACACGCCACTTGACCACGATGTGTGTGATCATGCAGATACCTGAGTCCCACCAGAGCTTCTCGGAGACCGTGAGAAAACAACATTTTAAACACACTTTGTTTAGGGACGGCTGCGCATACGAAAGTTTAGAGCCCACAGTGACCTTTGATCCCTAGGGCTGGGGGGTGTTGTATGCTTTTGTGTCCCCCAGACTATAGGAAAGAGAATATTGCACTAGAGAAGTGAATTTCAAGGTGCAGTGGCCCTCCAGCTCTGTCAGACCGCAGTACAGGTGTGGGAGGGAGCCGCCACGCAGAGCTAGAAGAGACGGGTCTGGGAGGTGGCGTCAGAGGGGTTTTGGCCTCCGGAATTCACTTAAGCTGGAAGGGGCAAGCCTTTATTATGACCATTTTGTGCTTACCTGCATTCTCTCTCCTTATGTGTGCGTACGTGCGCGCTCACCACGGGGACAGGTGCACCACCCCCCCCCAGCCCTCATGTGTACACGCACGCCAACACAATTACTTCTGAACCAGTTGAAAATAAGACATCAGGCTCCTTGCTGCCTAATACTGTGGAACATAGTTGCTACGACCATTCTCTCATGTATAACCACAGTATAATAATGATCAAAGCCTAAAAGTTATCATGGATATGGTACTATTATGTGATCCATATTTGTCCATATTCTAGTTTTACCATTATTGTTTCAATAATGTCCTGTTTAGCAGTTTTCCCCTCACTCCTGCCTCACTGCACGGAGACCTAGTACAAGAGGCAGCTGGGGACATCTGAGTCGTTAGCTAGCGACCCCTCTTCTGGGCTGGCTTTCCCCTTGCCATTTTCTCCAAACAGTATTTCCGTCTTGCTTTTTCTTCTGTATTTACTCTTGATGTCAGATTCTCCTGGCCAGCTAAAGTAGCGAATCATGGTTTCTCATAGCAGATTAAATAGCATTAAAACTGACCTGAAACTCTTAAATCTCTCAAAATAATGAATGAACACCATCGATTAGATTCTCCCTGTAGTCAAATTTCTACATCATCTTATTTTATGGTGTCAAGAACCACCATGATCAGATGGATTTCAGCTAGATTTCATCCCTTATTTTATTGCAGTAACCCTTAATGTGTTTTAAACGGTTTCAAAAACTCTTATTTAATCTTATCAAGCCAGCATAATTTGAAGGACAAAACTATGAGCCAAGCCTCACTTGTAAACAGAAATATAAAACATTCTAAACAATCAGCAAATAGAGCTCAAGAGTGTATCAAAAGAGTAGAAAAGAATATTTGACCAAGTAGGATTTATTTCAGGAATACAGGAGGTTTAGAATTTTTAAAACTTTCTACATATCATATCAACAAAAGAAAAAAGAAAAACACGATCCCATCGGTGGATGCTGAGAAAGTATTTGAGGCAGTCAGCTGCCATTCCCCCAAATAAGAGCTCTTAAGTAAAATAGGAAAGAAAGTAGCCAATTAAGTATAATCCAGACTATTTAAAAAAAAAAAAAACCAACAGTAGCATATTACCATAAATGGTAAAATTCTTAAACTATCTCATTATAAATAAGAAATTAGTCAGGGATTCCTGAAATCACTATATAATTCAGCTTAGCTTTTGGAATTTTCAGCAATTGCCAAGAAAATTTAAAAACTGTTACTAGAAAAAATGATTTCTGTACTTATACAAATATGCACACAAAAAACAGCCTATTAGATGTGTTATATATGGCTGTATATCTGTAAAGCCCCAAAGATATCAATAAAAACTAGAATTATAAGAGAATTGATAAGGTAACTAGATCTATAATAAATATTAAATACCCATACGTTTTTTTCTATCCTAGCAATCAATAGTTTTTTTGACTCTAGCAAGGAGACTTAGAAATGCAAAGGAGTAATAATTCCTTTCGTATACATTGCATAGGAATAACTTTTATAGTGCCAAATAGAAAAAGGTCCAAAATCCTAGTGAAGTATACAAAATAGAGTAGCACAGCTAGAAAGGCATATTATTCTCTTGTATGAGAAGACAGTATCATTAAAAAAAAATACTCCTCTAAATTGATATCTAAAAATATGTATTCCAAATAGAATTCCGGTGATTGGTGGGGGAGGGGAGTTGCATAAAATGATATTGAAGAATAAGTGGAATTAACAAGTATCTGAGAACAAATACGCATGGTACAAAAAAGAAAAATCCTAAGGGTCAGCTTCTCATCACTAAACATCAGACAGCACTCTAAACCGGTTGTAATCAGATCAATATGATACTGACGTGAAACCGCACAAATAAGTTAGAGAAACTAGAAGTCAATTCCAGTTTGGGATTCCAGATCTACAATATGTGAGAATTCAATAAATGTCAAAGGTGCTATTTTAAGGAAGAGTTTCGGTTCATTGTGTTCTAACAACTGGCTCTTCACTTAGAAAAAAAAAAAAACCCCATAAAATTGGCTGCTTATCTTATACCACATAGATAAATAAATTCCAAATATGTTAAGACCAACATGTGGAAAGTGAAACTATAAGATTCCTGCATGAAACCCCTAAAAACTTTCAGAACCGTAATTGGACACTCAAAGCTATTCTTGACCATGTAAAAATTAAGCGCTTTTATATGACCAGAGAAACCGTAAAGAAAACCAGGAGACAAAGAGTGCATTTGGATGCAACTTTATAACATAAAGACAGAATTGGAATCTGTTAGACTCCAAGACCTCCTAAAAAGTGGATGAACCACGAATAGAAAACGGACAAAGGACCTGACCTGTTCACAGAATCGCCAATCCAGATATCCAGCAAATAGATAAAAACATGCTCAGATGCCCTGGTGGGCAGGGAAAGGTAAACATTTTTTTAAAGCAAGAGTTGATATCTTTCATTTTTCAGCCTGGAGAATATTTTTAGCGCTGGGGCAGCAGGGATGAGATTACTTCTTGTCCTTCCTGAAGGGAAAGGTTAAATGGTTGGAACCTTTTTTTGAAAACCACTGAGCAACATCTTGTAAACTTCAACCTGCATCTTTTTACCCTGCAACCGTATTTCTGGGAATCGCTGCCACAGAAATAAAATGATCAAGGTGTATTTGTTATGATATATTATAGATGTTTATTGCGGAATGTGTGTGGAAACAAATGAACACCTATCTGTAGGTGAATGGCTGAAAAAATACCGGGCACCCAAATTATGAATTACTGTGTGGGCATGAAAAATCTTGCATTAGTGTGAAACCCAGGGGGCATGTGAGGCATTCCACAATGTATGGTTTTGCGAGAAAAAAAGCGATGAAGAAAAACACGTTTCTATAAAACAAAGAATGATCTATGTGTGTGTGGTGTGTCAGAAGCAGGGTGAGAGTATGATCGGTCCTACGGGGTGCTTGGCCATTGGTGAAGGATGGGACGATTTGCCGTGGGTAGAAAAGTCCAGTAAAAAGTGGGGGGGTGGGGGATAAGGATGGCAGCGTAAAGCGTGTGTGACGGCACGTAGAAGCAAAACAACAGGGTGAGTTGATGTACAGACGTGCGCAGCTTCTGAGATGTGGGGTAGGAGCACCTCCCTTCAGCAGATTACTTGTGTTATTGTGAGAGGGGCGAGTACAGCCCCTCTGGATGCTTTTAACCTTGAAATCCGGAGCACGTTGAAACCCCCAGGGCTGGCTTCCTCTCGGCTCCGGGGTGAAAGAGGAGGCTGCAGGTTTTGTCGGCCCTGCTCCACCACATCTCCGATTGTTTTATCCTAATAGGTTTGGAAAAGGCTTACTTATCTGGACTCAGGCTCCCAGTAACTGGTGTACAGAGTTCTCAGAAACACACATCCCGTTCCCACGCGCTGGAGCGCTCACCGGGTTTGTGGGTCGGGATTTGCTCAATGCTGACAAGCAGCGAGTGACCCCGTCTGTGACCCCTTCCCAGAACCGCGTCAGAGAACGACCTTACTTTCCCGGCTGAGGTGACATGCTCATTCCAGATGTCTTCTTCAGGATCTGGATTTCTCTTTCCAAAACACAGCTACGAGCGTGCCAGTCCCCCATAGATCACAGGTGAAGGCTGTGGACTCAGAAGGCACCAGGAACCTCATCGTCCCGGCAGGTTGCGCTGTCTCCTTCCGTGCCTCGTCTTGTGTCGCATCCTCAGCGGCCACCATGCTGGATGTCTTAGGAGCCCTCCCCACCCCCAGACGTGCCACCTGTGTGCCTACCTGAGGCTTTGTGAGGGATGCTGGATTCACGGGAGGGTCTGCTTCTGCGCCCCTCTCCCCGACATCCCTTTCCATCCCACCACATCCTGGAGGTTCCAGTACCTTACAGGTCAGGCGCTCTTTGGTCCCAAAATCCTTTCTTGACCCTCCCTTCTCCTTCTCCATCATCTCCCCGGTGGGTAGCTCTGCAGAGCAGCGTGTTGTGTTTATTTATACGCCCGCTGCCGGCTGCCCGGCTGCGCCTCTGCAGTAGACGGAGCGCCTGCTTCTTTTCCTCCTTCTGACTTAAAACCTCCATACGTATTCCTGGTGCTTATCACAGTGTCTGGCCCATAACTCATTCCGAATAAATGCCTGTCAGGTGAGTAAATGGGTGAAGTACCTCGTGCTTCCTGCAATCTGAGCTCAAAGTTGGGATGGGAAGTTGTAAAGCTGTGCCTCGGCGACGCTAACGGGAAAGCGCCGCGCTTGACAAAGCCACCTGAATCAGCACCCGTTTGACAAAGGAAGGTAGTTGTTCATTTAACGTGGTTTCTTCGCTAATCGGATATTTATGGTGTCGTTTTTAATGTTCAGTGGATTCATTTTATGCTGCTTACGTAACAAGTAAAAACGGTCTTTCGTGTAATTTCTTTGTTTGGAGGGTGCCTGGGGAGTTGTGAATCACTGATGCTCAGGTCTGGACTTGACTGAAAATTAAGTCATCATTCTGTGGAGCTGAAACACTTCAACCGTGTGACTCGGGAAGGCGGCCTCTTCTAACGGCTCATTGTTCTCCGTACAGATTTTCACAGCCTTGCCGCCCTTCACTCTGGGAATCTTCGAGAGGTCCTGCACCCAGGAGAGCATGCTCAGGTTCCCGCAGCTCTACAAAATCACCCAGAACGCGGAAGGCTTCAACACGAAGGTAAACGCTGTTCGCCCACGGTTGTCACCTCACGGGGGTGTGAGCACCGCTCTTTGTCTCCCGGCTCTAGCTACCTGCCTGAGAGATGGCGCATGTGTTAGAGAGAACATGTGAGAAGAGCTGAGACCCAAGCCCCCTCCCAAGTATAGCAAGCCAGGGAAGTCACGATGCCACGTCGGAAAGGAAGCTTCCGTGTTGTGCGTTCACTTCCTGTTTGTCAGCTCCTTTTCTCTTGTCCGCGTGTGCCTGACATCAGTCTGTCCAGTGGCGCCCATGGCCCCGGGTCGCTTAGGACCAGCCCTCAGAGACTCCCTTTGTGAGGCGGGCAGGGAACTTCCCTAACAGAGCCTTCTTGCCACCTGTGACTTGGTCTTTCAGTTAAAAGATAATGTTTCTTTAGTCAGTGAGTAAAACTGGCCAGATGTCAACACGGCAATCAAGTCAGTGGTGGGTATTTTTTTTTTCACCCTGGAGAATCAACCAGAAGAGAGAAAGCAGCTAGACCTAAAAACTGTAGGCAGTCCTGCAAAGGGCCAGGTGGAAGCTGGTTTAGGTTAGGTGTTGCCAGGAATCTGCAGTGAAGACCGGCGAAGGGGACTCCCAGGGTCTGCCAGTCATAGCTAAGTGGCTGAGCGTTAGCGGCCAGAAGGGAGACCCGTGCCTGGCATGGTGCAGGATGCCTGCATCGCCATGCTTCTGTGTCAGGTTTTTGTGCAGGTGGGGATTAGGACGTTGGAACAGAGGTTCATTTTCACATTTGAACAGAGATCACTTAAAATACGGGGCGCTGGTTGTGTGCGAGATTTGCTTGGGGAGCCACCGGGGCCTTAGTAAGGATGACGGGGGGTCCTCAGCAAGAGGACAGTCTCTGAAGCCTTTGTTGGAAGCCAGGTATTCCTGATGACCTCCGCTCAGAGCTGCTTTCTTTTGGGGGAAGCATAATCACGTCCAAGACGGGAAAAACCCAGAAGGGATCCAACTGCTTCTAGTGTCTTCCATACACAGGAAGACGTGCATGTGCAGTTGTATCTCCTCGTTCCCCGTGATTTTCTCGGGGAAATACGGCCTGTTCTGCGTTATGGACATAAATCTGTTACAGAGCTTGGATCCAAAGGCCGTGTGAGACAGGAAGTTACGTAGGGAATGGACCCCATTTGAAGAGCGGTAAAGCTGAGAATGCTCGGAGATTTATTTCCAGACACCTTGAAGATTTTTCTTTTTTGAGGGGGTGGGTGAGGAGGTCAGGGAAAAGGTAGGGGGAAAAAAGAACATTTAAAATGGGACAATCTTAACGTCTTATTATTTTTTTCGTTCGTTTCTGTCTCCCCGCCACGACCTAGGATCAAACTATAGGGCAAGCCCCGGAACAATCTGTAGCTGTTTGAATAAACTCAAGCTGACGTCAGTGTAGTAGTTCCGTCAACTCGATAGTTAAAGAGATCATGGAAATGCATTTATGAAATTAAACTTTGTGTTCTTTTGTTTGACCTTTCAAGTGTGAAAGAGCATTTTTAAATGTGCGTATCAGCCAGACTCCTGGAAATTAACAAGCTGCATGGGAGGGAAAAGAGCATTTTTAAATGTGCGTGATATTAACCAAACTTCTGGAAATTAACAAGCTGCACGGGAGGGATTTTAAAAAGCCAAACAAAACAGAGTGCCGTGTAGAAATCTACATTTAAAGTGTTTTTAATGCTTTCACAAAGTACACAGTTTCTGTTGCCTGTTAACAATTTTGACCTAATATCCTTCTCTTTCTAGATGATTGTAAAATTTTGTTGTCCCTCTTATGATTATAAAAAATGGATTCGAATTCATGTTTTGGATGTGGACAGATTGTACACTGCTCTGTGTATGTGTCCATAGACATTCAGGTCTTTCTAGTAAGGTGATATCATCTGGAGACTGTCCAGTCATTTGTACATAAAAATGAGGAAATAGGTATTTTTTTTTTAACGTCAGGAATAATACTCCTGAGTGTCGCAGGACTCTGCCGGTATCCTTCACAATGAGCTGTCTGTTGAGTTGCGCAGAGGTCAGGAGTTACGGGCAGCTCTTGACTCCCTTGGTTTGTTTTCCCTTAGGTTTTCTGGGGTCACTGCATCAACGCCTTGGTCCACTCCCTCATCCTCTTCTGGTTTCCCATGAAGGCGCTGGAACACGGTAACGGCTTCATGATCTCAACTGTCAGCAAGTAGCCCTGCAGTCCCTCTGGTGCCGGGTGTTCACAGGTCTCCCCTCCCCCCAGTTCTGCAGACCAAGAGATCACAAGAACACATTCTCGAAGAAAAACATACCTAAAATCTAATGAGAGCTAGGGCTCAGGTTTATAGCTTGTAGGTTTCATCCATTCTGGCTCTGAGAGCCCAATTTCTTTCCAGTTGCCTGGAGAGTTTAAATGCTAGGAATTCTAAACTTTATTTTTAATAACCGTTGGAGAGAAGGCTCTTGAAGCAAAGCACGGTACTGTAATGAAACATCAATGCCCCCTTCCCCCCCCCTTCCGCGGGTTTGACATTTTCGGTTAATTACCTGGGCTTTCATTTTCCGCCCTTACAGACCCGTACACAGAATAACTCAAATCTGGTGAGAGCCTCACCTCACACCTCATTTCATGAAAGTCGCCTGTCCTTGATGTACGCTTTTCAAGCCAACTGTTAAAAGTTTGAGGACTGATTCTCTCAACTGGTTTTTGAGTCCTTCCTCCAGCTGGAAGAGGGCATGTGAGAAAGGCAGCTGACTTAAGATACCCAAAAGGTTGCATCCTAAAGAGACATCTTTTACTCCCAGAAAAGGAAAATGTATCATGAGAATGCTCCTCTTTCATCCCTCTCAAATAGTAATAATCCCCCTGGGAAAAATTACTCCAAATGTTGACTAGACAAGGCCTTTTATTGTTCAGAGAACCAAAGACTATAAAGCCTCCAAGGCTCTTTGTTTCTGTGTCACTATGTTTTGTGCTTCGAACAGAAATGATTCATCCTCCCTGATAGTCTTGAACCTATTAAGTACTGGCAGAGAAGACGCACACCCAGCCAGTGCCTTCAACCCTCTGACCTGTTCTTTGAGTCGCATCAGACCGCCTTGTCCTTAGAGGGTCCCTAAGTCTCTAGATCAGAAAATAAAACTTTCTGCTTCTAGACCCACCCGCACAAGGGGCTCTCTAGCAAAATCCTGTCCTTTTAACTCTCAAGCTTTCCTGGGATTCGTTTTTACTCAGTGTGGAGTTTTACGTTCTGAACGAGTGGGGGGGGAGGGTCACGAAGAGTGCTGGCTGTGCTTTGTCTTAGGAGCCCTGCCCACTGGGTGGTAGAAGCAGCCGCCACTGTATCGGGATGGACTGGCGGTGGAAGCAGTTTGTGTGATGGGCGTAGGAACAATTTTGGGGGGCGCCTGGGGGGCTCAGTCGGTCAAGCATGACTCTTGATTTTGGCTCAGGTCATGCGTGATCTTGCGGTTTATGAGATCGAGCCCCACGTCAGGCTCTGAACTGACAGCGTGGGACCTACTTGGGATTCTCTTTCCCCCTCGGTCCCTCCCTCTCTCTTTCTCAAAAAAATAAAATTTTTTTTTTAAAAGAACACTTTTGCCAGTTGTCCTCCTGACCCCCGGGCAGGGAAACGCCGGGAATGGCGTGGACTGGGTGCAAGTCCTGTCTCCAGGCCCCTTCCCCTACTTATGTAGATGTTGCACTCTGCTTCTAACTCCAAATTGCTTGCCTTGGGGCTTTCAGATTTATTAGACGGTCATTTACTTGCCTGCTTCCTAAAGAACTAATGTGGCCTGTTCTGCGGTAGAGGCAGTGGCTTTCCAACCCTAGAGCTATGATTTTGTGCTTTGAGACTGTGGGTTATGGAGGAATTGTTAGCGTCACCCTAGAGTCCATCACGTGGATCCATTCGTTCATCTCACGTAGCCTGTGCTTAAAAGCAGACAAACTCCCGCAAAGTTCCCACTTTACCTGAGGTGGTAACACCAAGTGAATTGCAAGTTCGTTTCTGCCGCCCGTATCTGCTTCCCTCAAATTCGGCAATTTGCCTCGCAGCCAGCCAAAGGGTGGGTGTTTCCAGTTTGTATCGTCATCACCATCATCGTCAATTATTTCATTGTATTTAGTAATCCTGCGGCGGGGGGTTCCCTTTTCATTGTGCTGTAATAACATCAACCTACTGAGCGAACCTGTATAAGATAAAGTAAATTGCAAATATTGAGTATATGTGGCAGAGAATTGAAGGGGGCCATTGGTGTTTTTGTCCGTTAGTTGACTTCTTCCAACAAATGAATATTTTCGAGTTTATTTCTTAATTCTCATGATTAATGGATAGCAAAAATGGTTGTATCCTTGCCCATTAACCTCATTCATGTGATATTTATGTCCAAGGCACTGTGGTGGATGTTAAGGGTGACAGGTAAATGTGAGTCTTACCATCAAAGAGTTTGTAGTCTGATAAAGGAGACTGGATTCACATCTGGAAGCTTCTAGCACAGAGTAGAAAATAACTGCCTCAAGTAAAATACAGATGATGTGCTATGGGATTTTAGAGGGCTGAGAGAGGAAAGACTTTCTTTTGGAATGATTAGTGACCTGTTAGGGTAATATTTAGGCTGAGCCCGAAAGCCCAGGTAGGACTGAGACATGGAGAAACGGAAGGAAGAGGCGAATATAAAGTGGGGAACTTCAGGGCTGACGTGGAAAGCTTTGCGGAGGCAATCCCTTCACGGGTGGAAGGCAGGAAAAAGTTTGAGAAGGTGGGTGAAAGGTGGACGGACCAGGCCTCGGATGTGAGGTTAAGGTGGGACTGAAAATGTTAGGTAGAGGGTCCCCGTAGAATTTAGACTGAGGAGAGGATGCAGACCAGAGCAGTCTGGGGGAACGAAGGGGTGACGTCAGGCAAGGTGAATGAGAGGAGGAAAACCCCTTGTGTCTCCAGGAATTGCAGGGACTGTTCAAGAAGAGTGAAACCCAGGAAATGGGAATATGTTTAAAGAGGAGGGAGAATGTTTTGAGGACTTCTGTATTCAGCAGAATCATGGCATGTCCATGACGTGCCCTGACCCTGGGAGCACACGGATATAAATTCTGCCTCTCTTGACCCCTGGCGGCTTGCAGAAGGTCAGAGCCCATGATCAGGAAGTGCGTGTGTGACCACCAGCCTCTAGTGGGTCAGGGAAGAGGCCTCTCTAAGGAAATGATGTGTGTTTTTGTAAGATGAGGGAGGGGGGGTGATCAAGTGGGGCAGGAGAGGTATGGGGAAAAGAGCCTTCCTGGCCCACCCAGGCAAGCACACAGGAACCTGCGCCAGCCAGGGATGGTATTTCCCAGTGTGTGTGTGGAGGGGTTGGGGACCTGAATTCCAGACTTTGTTCAGCCTCTCATGAGCGTTTCAGGATGCCGGGCAGTAAATGTGGGTAACCTCCCCTCCTCTGTCCCTAACCTATTGCAACTATAATAAATCAGATCCCATGTTACCATGTTTCCAGTGTCCGCTCTGGGGTCAGCAACGGCACCCGTAGTCGAGACAGCCTCAGCATAGAGGCGGCAGGAGATGCTGGAAGGGAGGGCAGAGAGGCGAGGTGAGGGTCACCTCACGAAAACCCAGGTGGGGACTTTTCTGGGTGAGGGGCTGGAGGTAAGAAGACTGCTGTGTAGAAAGACACGTAAGGATTGACAAGAAGATGAGATTTTTCTTTGGGGGGTTGGTGCGTGCGGGGGGTATGGGCGGGGAGAGGAGGAAAGTCAGTGGTGGAAATCTAGAAAGATTGCAAGTCTGAGAAGGCAGGGATGTGGCGGCTGATGGGATTGCTTGTTTCTGTGCTGATTTACAGTCTAAATGTCAGTGAGTTCTTGTGACACCCGGAGTTACCATGTAGAACGATGTACCACCCCACCCCCGAAGACACCTGATCGGAGACGAGTTGAGGCACTTGCAAGGCATGGAGGACCCTGATCTAACAGAGGAGCACCTCCTCCACCCCCGAGTCCTGCCTGAAGCTCTTCCTCAGACTCCTCCCCACACCCAGAGCCTTAAAGGAGTTTTGCCTGACCGGCTAAGGTCCCTAGAGTATTTCCTTCATTTCATTGACTCACGCTTTGTGGATTATGTCTCAAAGACGGTGAATTGTACTAGGGAGTTCTGTCTCCACTATCCACGAGGAGAGGCGTAGGTCCATACCAGTGTTCTTCACTTTGGGCACGCAGTCATTGGAAAGGAAGATTTTTGAGAAGGTGTGAGCCCGCCAAAGGCTCCAGGAATTTTGCTTTGCTTATTTTTGCGTGGTTTTGGATAGACCTTTCAAAAACACTCCTTTGCTGATGGAGTTTGTGATGATTCATTTCAAGTTTCAAAATAAATGTTTCCACTCAAGCAATTCAGCAAATCAGATTTCCTCCAACCATCTCAGCCTGACACTCAGTCCCAGGGCCCGTCTGTAACTCCCGTGCTTTGATGTGAAAAGCGATTCTAGGTTAAAAGCAGAGATGTCACCTTTGCAGGGACTGAACTTCATCAGGACCCTTGGTGTCAGGGCACACTCAGGTTTTCTATCGGTGGATCCCGTGCGCAGATGTGAACAGTCGTTCTCGAAGTGGAATGTGGTTCTTGGCAAAAGGAAGTAAAGTCAGGTTTGACTTACAAAAAGGAAATTTTCAGATTTTTCTTGATGAAATTTAAGAGGGGGGTGACGAGAAAGAGAATATACTTACCAGCTGAGAAAAATTCCTAAAACATTCGTTTCTCAATTCTTCACAGTCCACACCCTGGAAATCACTCCCTCCCCTTTTCAGAAGGAAAAGTACCATATGAATACTTATTCCATCGACATAATTAAGCAGTGAGGTCTTTTAAGATTTCCGGAAAAGTGGGGCGCCTCGGGGGGCTCCGTCGGTTAAACGTCCGACTTCAGCTCAGGTCATGATCTCACGGTTCGTGGATTCGAGCCCCACATCAGGCTCTCTGCTGACCACTCAGAGCCTGGAGCCTGCTTCAGATTCTGTGTCTCCCTCTCTCTCTGACCCTTCCCTGCTCTCTCTCTCTCTCTCTCTCTCTCAGAGATAAATAAAACATTAAAAAAACTAAAAAAAAAAAAAAGATTTCTGGAAAAGGCTGTTTTATACTTTTTAATCAACATGCTGCTATAAGATCAGTTTTGTAAACTCTGCCCAT